AAGGAATAATGGGTCTACTCGTGAGGGTGGCTTAGCAGGCAAAAATGGAGTAATCTGTTTAGATGGGAATAAGAGGGCTGCTTCTTGTTGGCAGGAGTGATTCAATGCAATTTAGGGGACCAATGTCCCCAGCTTTCTGATTATCTACCAATATGTCCCCATCCCAAGTTTCAGGATCTCATTTCTTCCAAATCAATGCCCTCACTTTAACTTCAGACACCATTCAACGTTGGAAACTCAATTGGCATCATACTTCAGCCACTCTTACAATAAGACTCTGCATTTAGTCTTCAGCAGTATCAGCTCTGTTACTGCAAGAAATAAGGCTTTCTTTCAGGGCACAAGTGGCAACCTTCAGGTCTTTTATGCAGCACTTGGGCTGTGACTCTCATGCCCTGAGCTCATCTCTTTCACCACTCTGTCAAGTGAAAGCGCACCAACCAACCAGCCTCCCTATACTTGTAATTCCGACAAAATTGTTGAAAAGTATCAAATGTAAAATCATACAGAGCCTGTTTCTCACAAATATTTGATCTACTGGTGGTGGTATTTTGCATATTTCTATTGCCACCTCATGCCATGGATTAGCAGTGTCCTTTTTACTACTGGAGGCAGAGGCATCAGTGTCTTTAAGACTAGCCAGACTTGAGAACGAATTCAGAATTCATCCTTACAATTGTGTTCCTCTAGAAGCACTCTCGATACCAAATGTCTTAGGCTGCATTCTCTAGAAGGACAAAACCAGTGGAACGTATATATACATTTATCTGGAATCCTCCCTTCTCAAACCCCTTACATATCCATTTACTCTCCCTGTGGCTTCCAGTTCTGACCAGAGAATGTTGGTGCTATGGCGGTGGCAGGGTGGGGGTGGGGGTGGGTTCTGGAAAAGGGGCATTAGGGCAAATGTGGCAAAGTATGGGGCCCCATATTTCCAGGCACTACCACCCTTTCTCTCCACCTGACTCAGAATCCACTGGAAAGCTGGTTCCAAGGCAAGGGAGAGTGGGTAGAGGCTGTGGGGCCAGTGACTCCTCTGACATTTTCCTGTGCCCTGCTTTGATGGGTTGTCAAAAACACTCTATGCTTTTTCTATTCTCAAACTATGGTATAAATTCTGTTGTCCTGGCAAACTCTAAGTGAGCAAACAAACTAATAGCAGCCTAGACAAACCCTCTTCAGTGAATAAGTTATTGCCCCAGGACATAGGGGTAAGAGCCAGGACATGCAGAGTTGTCAAACAACTGGAAAATTTGGGCTCCAAGGAGGAGCACCAGAGAGGGGCGTAGCTAAAGGGCCAGGTCCTTGGAGTGAGAAACAAAGGAGGAGGTATGGCTAGGTTGTCTCAGAGTAGTTATTACAATGATGAGGGAGTGTCACTAGCAGGACTGGGTCCAAGGATTGGAGGGCCGAGGGCACATGGCTAAAGGTCCTTACATTTTGTATTAGAAATGTGAATAGGTGTCTAAACCTATCATTGTTTACCTAACATATGAAGTAGCCAAGAGGCCCAAAGCAACAAGACTGGAGAGCAGTTTGGGCATAGCTTTTTTTGTTTGTTTACTGTTGTAGTTTACATGAAGTTTACGTTTCAAGTTAGTCTCCCATACAAAAATTTTATACATAGTTATGTGACCCTGATTGCTCTCCCCATACTGTGACAGCACACTCCTCCTTTCCACCTCTGATTCCCCATGTCCATTCAACCAGCTCCTAACCCTCTCTGCCTTCCCATCTCACCTCTGGACAGAAGCTGCCTGTTTAGTCTCTTGTATCTACTTGAGCTGAGAGGCACACTCCTCACGAGTATCACTTTATGTCCCACAGTCCAGTCCAATCTCTGTCTAAAGAGTTGGCCTCAGATATTGTTTTAGTTCTGGGATGACAGAGAATCCGTGGGCCATGCTTTCCAGGGTTCCTCCAGTCTCACTCGGACTGTTAAGTCTGGTCTTCTTACTAGAATTTGAGTTCTGCACCCCACATTTCTCCTGCTCCATCAGGGACTCTCTGTTATGTTCCCTGTCAAGGCGGTCATTGGTGGTAGCCAGGCACCATCTAGTTCTTCTGGTCTTAGG